TCTTTGTGTGAACATTTGGGCGGTGTTATGCAAATCTTCCCACATAGTGACGTAGATATGTGGGGGTGTGTTAGAACGAGCCGTTTTAGGTAGGTGTGGCTGACTCTTAACTTTTATAAAGAATATCTCTTTTATAAAGAATATAATTTGGATTTGAGACTTTAGTCTTTGCAACTTTACAGATCTTCTTTATGCACCAAGAGATTGTAACACTCCAAAGAGAAAGGAAAAATTGAACTCGCATCATAACACCCCTTTAAATTCTTATTCTACAATGAAAGGTTAGATTTTAGTAAATTTTTTAAATAAAATATCTAAAGGATTGATGATACAGATTAATTTTCACAGCTTTCTTTGATCATATTTACCAAGGGTATGAATAATTTTGGGCACAACTGTATATATATATATATTTTTTTTTTCATAACTTATAATTTGTAATAATATATAAGAATTAATATTATTATATGATTATTATTATATTAAATATATACATATATATATATATATATATATACACACACACACACACACACACACACATATATGTCTAATTTATAATTTTTAATAATAATTTATAATTATTATTCATTATCACCCTGCTTTCTAAGATATCAGCATAGGCATTGGCTGTCAAATAACCAATATCAATCAATATCAGCTCAGTTTTCAGCATCATTACTTCAGTCTTCAGTGTCACATGATCCTTCAGAAATCATTCTAATATGCTGATTTGCTGCTCAAGAAACATTTATTCTTATTATCAATGTTGAAAAAGTTGTGCTGCTTAATATTTTTGTGGAATCTGATTTTTTTTTAAACAGCATTTATAAACAGCATTTTTTAGAGATATAAATCTTTTGTACCATTATAAATGCCTTTACTTTTGATTTATTTATTTATGTCTTTGTTAAATAAAAGCATCTTTAAAAAAACTTACTGACCACAAACCTTTGAATGGGTCATGTACTTGGCAATAAAAAATTCAAAATATAAAATAAAATTTGTTGTTTTAAATGTTACAGGTAAACTTAGGCATCACAGCATAATGAACACTCTTAAAAAGGGACAAACCCAGCGGTTGGGTTGTTTTGACCCAACCGCTGGGTCAAAACAACCCAATAGCTGGGTTTGTCCCTTTTTAACCCAGCGCTGGGTTATATTTAACCCAGCATTTTTTAGAGTGTACAGTATGAAAAATGGATATCCATTTTAAGATTTGATAAAGATTACATTTAACAGTTATAATTTTTTTAGATTAACAAAACAAAAAGGAATCTAAATGTAAAAATAGAGCAAATGAGCGAGAAAAAAAAAATTTCTAATTATCAGCCGGTAACCAATACAGTACTGATACATCATGCATCCCTAAAAGAGATCCAACATCTGAAAAACATGTCAATCCAGAAAAAGATAGAGCTGTTTGAAATTTACAGGCTCTTCTGACAATCCTGAGCCAGGCTCAATGTGAGAGAGCTCTTAAAAGCAAAGAACAGAAGGGTTATCACTGCAGTAATGGTGTAGTCGGCCTCTGAGCTCTCGAGTCATTTGTGTTGGGCCATCGCAGTGGGTCGCTGATGTTATCTCCACAGGCACTGACTGCCACTCCAGCCGATGAAATGGGCCACGGCTGGCAGACACAATCAATTATTAATACGGCCGCAGTCAGAGCCACATCAGAGGAACATCCACAACCGACTGTATCACAGTTAAGCAGCCTGTCTGGACAGCAGCCCACATGCTTGTGAACACCGACCTCTTCCTTATATATCTCAGACTGTTATGTTGCAATAATGTGCAAAACAAATCTGTTCTGGCATCAAGACACTGTAGACATTGTAGAGCTAAAGTAAAAAAAAAAAACTGTAATCACGTCTGTGATGAATTATAGTCATAACATTCTAATTAGCTCCAGTCTTCCGGTCGGATCATATCCTGGAGCATAATGTTTATGGAACGGGAGAGCAATAAGCGTCACTCTGTTATTTCTAGTTGCTTCTTGCTTTCGATGCGAGACCCTGATTGTGCAAACACTAAGTGCTGGCTGCAACCCAAAGCAAGAGTTTCACATTCCTACATAAACTCGTGAGTTGAGAGAGGCAGCACAGAGTGCTCAACCCTCTTCAGATTACAAACACTGATGCAAAATTCCTGTAGAGCGTGGAGAGCAAGCACTGGATTTGCCAGTTTTAGGTTGAATGCATTTTAAAATGACATTTATTCCTGTGATGGCAAAGCTGAATGTCAGCTAGTCTAGATATCACCCTATGTTCACTGTCACAGATCCTTTAAACACCTTTTATTATCAATTATTTGAAAACAAATGTGCAGCTTAATATTTTGTGGATATTTTTTTTCAGGATTCTTTGATTCAAGTTCAAAAGAACAGCATTTATTTGAAATAAAAATCTTTTTTAGCATTATAAACGTCTTTGCTGTCACTTTTGATCAATTTTATGCATCCTTGGTGAATAAAAGTACTAATTTCTTTAAAAATAAAAATCTTACTGACCCCAAACTTTTGAACTGTAATGTGTCCTTAAGCTACTACTTAAAAAAGGCTACTAATAATAAGCAGATAACTGCATTGAAGCTATTTGAATTTTCAATTACTGTGATATATTATTTTATAATTTTCTACGTAATTACAGTCATGGTGGCATAAAAGGTGGTAAATAGTTTTTTAAACTGGTTCATTTAAAATCAATGAACTGTCGAAAGAACTATTTTATTATAATGAATCGAAATGCTTCATAAAATAAAAAGACATTTAGGCAAGTATGTTTGATTATTTCCTCAGTTTGTTCGGCTGTAAAGCTGCAAGCAAAATATGACGTGACAAAAAAATTGCAATGTAGCATTTTGCTACCGCTACTTGCTGGAAAAAGTAGCTAAAGTAGTTAAAGTAGCATGACTACTTTTGGCAAACATAAATCATACCCATACACACATATAGACAAAATTCCAAAACAGATTTCACACTGGACACATTCAAAGAGCCATTTGCTTCAACACTCTCAAACTGCTTGATCTTACCAGAAGTAGGACTTCACATGCTCCTGTATTAACACCCACGTCTCACCAAAGTCATCTGATTTCCACAGCTGCCAAAAAATAAATAAATAAATAAAATAGAAAACAGAATAAAGGATAAGTCCTTAAGATTCAGCTGTTTCTGTTATAACATTTAATGATTCAACATTTATCATGAACCAGCTTCTCATTCAAAAATTACAGCCGATTACCTCACATCAAAACATGCTGCTTAGTGCAAAATTCAAAAGAGCAAATCTCTACAAACAGCTAAAGGCCTAAAATGACAGTGCCATTCATCTTACTAAAACTGGACACACGATATACGAAAAGCCCAGTACTTCTTACCTGTTTATTGGGATGAGAACTGTCATAACCGAGGACCAGGTTAGGCCTCTTACTGTGCAGCAGTAAGTCTGTGGATTTGAATGGGATGGAGAAACCCTGAACAGTATTGCAGAAGTCAAAGGTGTTCCACAGGTAACTGTTCGTGGTGTCAGTAAATAGATACTGCAAGGGAAAAATTGAGAAAAGAAGACTTTAAAAAAAAAAATTTAAAGGGTAAATTCAGCAAAAACAGAACATGTAGACAGTTCAGCCATAACTCTCATCCTTTACTCAATCTAATATTACAAATCCTATATTATTATCTTTAAAGGAGATGAAAACATAAAAAGACATGCAAAGTGGTGCCAAGTATCTATTTTCCATACAGTGAAAGTGGAGGGTAGTTTATAACGCCAAGCTCCAAAAAACACGATATAAGTAGTCCATATGACTCATACAAGATTTACAATGTACAATGACACAATGACAGCAGACAAGTCATATGGACTGCTTTTATGATGCTTTTAATTGCCATTATAAATCACTAATCACAAAAAAGAGCAGCATCAACATTATGTCAAATATCTTCTTTTGTTCTCAACAGAAAAACAAAAAACAAGTCCAACTTGAAGGTAAATATATGATGACAGAATGTCATTTTGGGGTGAACTATCCATTTAACCCTTGTAGTGGTTGAAGACACAACAGAATAGAAGCTCTCAAAGTTGCTATATTACAGTTATTTATTTCAAGCAGGTGGCTCTATGAGAACATCAAAGCATTTAAGTATAGCAAAAAACATTTTTTACATTATTAATTATTCAGATTATGCATTTCTGCCATTCTAATCTGCCTCCCTTCTCTTTGATCTTTCGTTTAAGAGCTTTTGCTATAAATTTTGTACTCTCCATGGCCTGGTTATGGAAGCAGGGCACTTCCCTTTCCAGATTCTGAGGCAATGAGGACTGGGACTGAAACAGAAACGCTTGACTTAAAAAGAAACCTAATGCTGTACGGAAAAATGAAAGAAGAACAAAAAGAGGAAGAAAGATAAAGTGGAGCATATGGATTTTCCGCATAACCTATGATCACCATCAGACCATCAGTGACTCTACACAGAACTCTATTTTTGTGTTTGCCTATCTAAAACTCATCAACACAATGTTGTTGTGTTCTCAGTGGTTGCTATGCAGTTGCTAAGGTGTTCTGAGTGGTTTTTTTACCAGCCCAAGTCAAAACAGCTTAGAGAAGTAGCACCACAACTCTTCACAACAAGCCACATGATTTCATCACTTCATTGTGAAGAATAATAATAGTTCATTATTAAATATAATTAATTACAAATTAAATATAAAGCAATAAAAATGAATATTAATTATTATTATTAGTTAACTAAAATAGTAATAAAAAGTATATAGAGTAATAATACTGTTGATTAATTGATGTTAATTAACATTTATATAACATTCTAAATTCATTATATAATAATCGAGGTCTATGTTAATATTAATAATATTGTGAATAATAATAGTCAATAGTAACTCCTTACAAAATCCATTCACACTTGCAAGTCAAAACCACTATAAAGAGATCATTGAAACAAACAGGCCCAGTATGTCTTGAAGGACTCAGAATTAATTATGAGTGCATATCGGCTCATTCTTCACACAGTTTTTCATATGAGATTATGTCAGGATTATTAATTTATCACAAATGCATTAAAATTAACCTCAGCAAACCACAAAAGCACCCTGCCAATATCTCTGTTAATTATCCCATCTGTAACAATCAAGATTTAGAGTTCTTCTCTATACACGGACCAACAGCGCAAGTTACTCCGATCACGCAAAATGTAATTAAACAGCCCTGTGCTCCTACCAAGAGGTTATACGCTTTACAAATTACACTCGTAATGCTTTAGCGTCGATCCTTCAGCAGCAGCAGGCGGCAGCTGCAGTGCCAGCCACATCATTGACTCCAGATGAATGGTCACCTTCTGCTGCCGTCAGCCCCTGCAATAACGCAATGCAGAGTCCCACAGCGGTTCTGCCATATCTGCAGCTCCCCACTCCAACTCCCATGAGCCTCTGCACCTCACAGAGATTCACTGGAGCAGCCCGTTATGGTGGGTGCAAAAGGCAGAGACTAAGGATGTAGCTTGTGTTTTTGCCCAGCCCTTGGATTTGCTCTCTTAGAAAACACCATCTGTGGATGTATAAGCAACTGGAGTGGTGGAAGGTAACAGCTGCAGATGGCCGAGAAGCAGTCAGTGTCACCGCGGTCTTGTTTGACCTCAGCTTAAGCTCACAAAAACAAAACAACTCATTGTCACACTGATAGTACAGCTGATGTCTCTCACACACTTACTCGTTTGTTGTCAGCGGGGCTGTGGTAAAACTGCGATATGACCTGTTTCTTGCCCTTCTGGTCCCCAGACAGTTTAAATTTCTCTGATACCTGGGTGAAGGTGGTTCCATAGTCATAAGACACGTACACCTGTTAAATAAACAACATCATGTCAAACTTCACCTGATACACTGCTGAAATTATAGATTTGTTCCAAAACCTAATAAGCTGCCTTGTTTACTGTCTACACAGGCAGCTGCCTTTTAAGTCAATATGAAACCTTTTAATATTATATGAAACTGATTTGGTACTTTCTTAATAGGGAGGAACTCCTAATGTCTCAAAAACAATGCTCCTTAAATGAGCTCCATATGAGACTCTGTTCACAATTGATTCCAGTTTGATGTTAGCATGTTGCTAAGCTAAAAGCATGTTAACCTAATAAGCAACTCTTAAAAATAATGCTCCCTAATTAAATCTAATAGATTTTGAAGTTAGCATGTTGCTAAGCTAACAGCTTGATAATCAAATATGCAACTTCATGTCTCAAAAATAACGCTTGTTATGTAAAGCCCGCTGAGACTCTGCTAACAAAGGATTTCAAGAGTTTGATGTTAGCATGCTGTTAAGCTAAAAGCATGATAAACTAATAAGCAATTACTTATTTCTCAAAAATAACACTCTTTACATGAAGAGCATGAGACTCTTCTTACAACTAAATCCAATAGATTTTTGATGTTAGCATGTTGCTAGGCTTACAGCTTGATAATGTAACAAGTAACTCTTTATGTCTCAAAAATTACGCTCCTTATGTGAAGCACATTAAGACTTTGCATCCAATTGATTCCAATAGAGTCTGAGGTTAGGTTTTTGCATATTAGTCACATTTTTATTGTTAGAATTATATTGTGAGATGGGTTAGCCCTGTTGAAAAAAAACAGCATATGCTGGTTAGGTATGTTTTGACGCTGGGATGCTGGTTTAAGCTGGTCCTTTGCTGGTTTGTGCTGGTCCTTTGCTGGTTTGTGCTGGTCCTTTGCTGGTTTTAGCTGGTCCTTTGGCTGGTTTATGCTGGTCATGTGCTGGCAAAGGACCAGCATAAACCAGCAAAGGACCAGCATAAACCAGCAAAGGACCAGCATAAACCAGCAAAGGACCAGCATAAACCAGCAAAGGACCAGCATAAACCAGCAAAGGACCAGCTTAAACCAGCATCCCAGCGTCAAAACATACCTAACCAGCATATGCTGTTTTTTTCAACAGGGAGGTTGTATTATTGTTCTTTTACTTATTTACAATTGGCAGGGGAACGTTCATTTTACGTAGCATGAGTGCAAGACAAATTTCCCTTCAAGGACAATAAAGTGTATAATACATGTGTCCACCATCCTGAATGCAAAATTTTACAGACTGCATTCTGTGATTGTCTCCTCCAAAGAGGATACATGTAAGTCTGCTAGAATTTGCCTCAAAGAATGTAAGTGATCATAATTAGGCAGTTATTCTTTTGAAAAGGCACTGGTTTAGGAACAGATTATTTCTGTAATACACTCATCTGTAATTCTAATTTCCAATGAGAAACTGGTTTGTACTTGGAGCTCTTTTTACTTTGATTTGCTTTGTCTTGCATTTCACAAAGAACACCTGTAACGCACTACACAGGTGAGCAGATAACAGCTCTAGTCACGTCCAGTCCATGGGCGTAGCTTGTGGGGGGGCCAGGGGGGCCTGGCCCCCCCATAGCGATTAAAGAATTTTACTAAATATTTATTTATAACGTTTTTTCTATGAAGTAAAAATGCATACAATGTAGTTAATAATACATGTAAAAGTTAATACGTAAAAGTTAATACATTTTAAATTGTTACTGTAAGTAAATTAATAAATCAAAACAAACTTAACGTCTCCCTCAATCTCATTTGCGTAAGAATTGTCACGTGACGAATCTGCATTTTGGTGGATAATAGTCTTAACGGTAATGCTTGCCTGTTGTGTGGAATAAAATGATGTTCCGCGTTTTTAACAACATACACGAACTACAGAGAAATCTGGAGCCAACGAAAAACTCAGATGAAGATATTAATGCCGTGCAGGGGCGGACTTACCCATTAGGCAAAGGTAGGCGACCGCCTTGGGCTCCCAAAAGCCAAGGGCCCCCTAAAATGCTTTTCATATAGGATATGCGCATTAAGCGCGGACACGCGAACGGTTGCTGTTTACGGTGTTTATTACCACGACAACCGTCCGAGTCCGTGGCGCCTGCAGGTGTAGGGCTGTACGCACTGTGAGTCATGAGCGCTCAGACTGACCTCAGAACGAACAAAAAATACTCCAAATGTTTTTCTAAATTTACTTTATAAAAAAACGAAACGAAATATAATCACTTTTCCATTGCATACAAAACTGAACTATTTTAATAGCTGAAACAGTAGTTTTTTTTGGGAAAAGGGGAAAAAAGACGGGCATAATCCACTTCATCCAACGCTGTTTTGTTCTCATCTGTGAGCATGCTCTTGATATATGTATTTTAGGTGTGTAAATGTATAATTGCCTTTTCATTCTTTTTTCAGTTTTATTTAAATTTGTAGTTAAAACAACTAAAAATAAATGTATTTTAAAGTTTAGAATTAGACAGCTAAATAAAAAGTGTGCGCCTCATTGTGCATTAACTTGAATCAAGCCCAACAAATGTCTGTTTTAAAAACAGTGGATGAGTAATTCACTCCTTGATTTGCTTAATAAAAGTCTCCTTTGAGATCGTTTTGACAGACATGTTTATTGTGCAATTTAATCGTGTTTATTGCTAAGTTTAGTGTGGCAAAATAGAAGCGCAGCTGTAATTCGTGGGCAATGTATGTGGTTACCATGACAACCTCACGCACTTGCCACTGCTCTATGTGAATGTGAATATGTAGATTTACTATAGCAAAACTAAAATGTGTTTAAAAGTACGTCTGACCAAATCCACCGGTTCGGTTTGGCCCCCCCAAACTCAAACGTCAAGCTACGCCTATGGTCCAGTCCCCCATAAAGTATGACCGCACCACTTTTGTCCTCGCATTTGCATTAGATAATGTTTAACATAAAAGCTCTGCAACTATTGAAAATTTGCAATTATTGCCACGCAGATGGAAAAGTAACATTTAAGGGTGCAAGAGAGTCTTTCCAGGTAGTGCAGCGAGTTGGAACCGGTAGCATTTAAGATGATATACTGAAGTGCAGGGAACTGAAGAACAGAAGGAGGCCTTTCATCTGTATGACTCAGAGAGCACTAAAAAGCAAAGCTAGATGGTCAAGATATTCTCTGTATCTTACACTGAACAGTCTGATATAGAGCTGTATATATATATATATAGATTCATACACAATGTTGGAAGTCAAAGTTCTGAAATGATCAATGAAAAAATGATATACTCACAGAGCTGGTCTTGGGATCTGTGGCACCGGCGCTGTCTCTCGCTAACGCTACTATGACGTTGCTCTTCTCCCCGGCCCAATGGACGACCATTTGATTATGAGAGTCATTCAGGTTGGCCTGTGAATACAAAATATGATGAACAACCCATCTAAATGTAGCTGACTAGCTACATTGTAGCTGACATTTATTTTGCTGTGGTCAGACAAGTATCTAGGTTTCCACAGCACAAATCAAGCTGTTGTGGCATAACACTGTTTTACAAACGGCTCAGAGTTGATTTTCAAAGACATTTCTCTGTTTCTGCTTCACTCACTGGGTCATATTGCATTTGTAATATCAGCTAAAATGAATCTGTATTTGACAGCCTTGAGTTTGTGGTAGGGACTGCAGGAGTGTCTCTTGCATGTAAGGCTGTCAAGACTTTGAGAAAACAAACACATTCGCAAATACACACAAACAGAGCAGAGCTGAGCTGCACCACAGAGGCAGGAAAACTGAAACTATGGGCTGCGGCAACTCATTCTGATCTGTTGAACAAAGAAATGTGTGTCATCTTTTCATGGAAAAGCCTAGGAACAGCCTGTCTCATCTTTAATTCAAACTTCTGCATGAGGACCATGGGATCCTCAAATGGGTTCTCCTCTGATATCTCCTGTCAGTCATAAAAGAGAACTTGCAAAAGGTTGTTTTTGTAAAGAAACAAAAACTAACACCACTTCTTTTCCTGTCTGAGGAACACTGTTGTGGTTCACTGGCGAACAACAGATTTACTTACTTAAAGGGGTCATATGATGTTGCTAAAAAGAACATTATTTTCGACGGACAAAACCAGTAAAACCCATTATAAACGAGGCATTTGTTGCATCCAGTGGGGACATAATTACTGATTATAATGACTTATACTGTCTTTTTACGCATTGCGTTGCATCGCGCCGCGTAAACATAAAACCATGTCTGCATTTGTAATCGGAGAAACGACAAACAACAAGTGATACTCTACACTGCCACTAATCGTCAGTGGCAAATCCTTTAAATATGAAACGAAAAACGAAACACACAGCGTCTTCACAACATGGCAGTGGCGGTGGCAGCAACAATAAAGTTACACCTTCTTTCTTTGCGTAAACATTTGGGCGGCATTATGCAATTCTTCCCTCATCGTGACGTAGACATGTGGGGGCGTGTTTAAACGAGGCGTTTTAGGAGGGCGTGGACCAGTCTTAAATTTTATAAAGAATATCTCTTTGGGTTTGAAACTTTAGTCTTTGCAACTTTACAGATCTTCTTTATGCACCAAGAGCTTGTAACACTCCAAAGAGAAAGGAAAACTTGAAATCGCATCATATGACCCCTTTAACCTTAACTTGTTAAACCACTTTTTGTTTGGAAGGTCACCTTACAGACTTTCAACAAAAGAAAACTACTTCCATATGTTATACCATTTTAAACAATATACATTATAGGATTAGTAAAAGGCATACTGATGTTCTTTTGGGAATGTTTGTTTTTTTGTAATGTACAAACAGTGACTTTTTGCCACAAACTACCTCACCTTGAATGCAGTCATATTTTTATTTGCCATGACACGGCAGTAAATCTCCCTGTTTTGTAGGCCTGCTTGGCAAGCAGCATGTTAGTACAATATAGAGACTATAGGAAACTGACAAAGCTGTTAAGAAAACCTCAAAACACTTTTATTTTACCTCTATTCATGAAATATTACAGCTGTATAATCCATAGTTTTTCTAATTTTTTTTAATAAAGTATGTCACACGCAAAATGTGATGTGTAACGACATCTTGACAAACTGTTTTACAATGATGTGACCTGTCTAACTTGTTTTTGACTATTCAAAGTGGAGGCTAATTTAATCACATTCTATGTGCCATCGGTCAAACAACCAGTTAGTCCTGCCCCAAACTCGCACCATTACTGTAAATGTTGCTGTTTCAGGCTGTGTGGGAGTTTATGGGGGACTAGAAGTGCCTCTTAAAAATAAAGTCAATGATCAATTTATTCATTCAAAAATAAAAATGCTAATAATTAACTTTAGAAATATTTAAAACTGTTGTATTTAAATGTTAAATATAACAATAAAATAATAAATTAATATTTTTAAATGCAACCTTTAAAGTGCATATTTTTTAATAATTGTTTTTTTATTAATCCATTTGCTAAAGTCATTATCTTTTGCTGCATGTTTTTTTGTCAATCGAGTTAAAAATGCCACTGGACAGTTCACCGAAAAGTAATTTGAACAAACCAATGAACTTTCAACTGAATTTGCATGGAGAAAAATGTCAATATGTACTTCAAATGGTACATCAACTGATTTATGGTTGACTGCAGTTTTTTTAAGAGCTGATTAATCTGTAAAAACAGTTCCCCGCCATCTCATCAGGATGTGTAGAAGAGCTTTTCCCATCACCTTGCCAACATACACCTTGGAAAAAAATGGTTGCAACCCAATCCGTCTCAGCCCGGCACACTCTTGGGTCTGCTTATTCAAAGAGAGTTAAAGGCTTGTCTGCAATTTCTGGTTATCCTGGAAATGGACTTTCTGCTAATCTAACAGGGCCCTCATTTATACTGACACCGTAATATCCTGAAAGCATCGACGGTAATTCAAGTGCAAATAACTTCACGTTCATTATCGCTTGTCTTGTTGAAAGCGCAATGAAGTCTGAGAGACAGTGAAAATAAAATAATTAAATTTTTTCTGTTTCTTATGTATTATTCAGCAGGTAAACAGAAGGAAGAACAAGAGAGAGCGAGCAGAGCACCTTCGCCCATCGCTGCAAGCAACACACGGCTTGAAACCATGACATCATCTCTGCAGCACTAACATTTGGGCCAACAGTTCAACAATTTGCCTACCCCGTTCCCTTCTGGCAACCAACCATACGAGCCTCTCTAAGAAAAAAAAATACGGGTGAACCACACATTTAATATCACTGTGGCCGAAACCAAAGGAAAACCGAGGAGTCATTATGCAGTTAAAGGCTTAAAGTACAGTTAAAAGCCTGTTTTATTATTGCTGTATGGATAAGTACTATATGGGACCATTACAGGGATGTGTTATGCTACCATGTAATGAACATACTTGAAATATCCATTAGCACATAGTAAATATACTAAAAAGGAAATGATCATTCTCTTTTGATATTCACATAAAGCATTAATAAATCATCTTAAACCAATAACTGCTGACAAGATTAATACTGAGTTCATCTATAATTTTCTTGTTTGTTTTAAATTGTGTCTTAGGGGAACGATAAAGATTATATGAGTCATCTGTGTTGATTTGGTTTCACCTTGAGCTTAATGCAAGAGGGGAACTTCAGAAAAGCCGAAACAAAACCGGCAGGCTGTTCAGACAAGTTCCAGTAATACTCCATGGAATGATTATAAACATCTACACCACCCTCCATTTTCCTTCCCCAGGCATTTAAACTTTCTTATCACAGAAAACGAAACTAAAATAGTCTGCAAGTAAGGCTGCTTAAATATCACGTTTGAACAGGAATGCTAATGTGATCCAAGCGGCACTAGGGTCATTGTCTATAATTTTCTGAAAAACTAAAAGGGAATTAAATGCAAATTTCTTTTGCAGTAAGTGTCATACATACAAAAATAAGTAACCCGTTACAAAGTCTGTCCAAAATTATGATTTGGTCTTAACTAAACACCAAATTTTTCAAGAACTACAAGGACAAAGAGAAACTAAATGAGAAAGAATGACAGTAATTACCAAATGAGATCAAAAACTGACTTCACATGACTCGTGAAGTAAGTCCATGCTTTTCTTGTGATAGGTGAGGCAATGTCAAGGCAACTCATTTAGATTCCGGCTATTACTTTATGGTAATGATTCTGCATTACATACTTTACATACTAGAACAAAAGTGCATTTGTTTGCCAGAAGTCTACTTAACATAGTTTAATATATGAGGGAAAAGAAGGGTTCAAGATCCAAGGTCCATGAAATGAATTAAATTTACTAGAAAAATTGCTTTGAATGTAGCCTATAACATTCTTCTAAGAATGAATTATGGGAGATCTTAATTGGATCATCTGAGGGGGTAATTTACCTCATAGCAACTGCAATGGACTCCATTCAGGACACTAATGACACTTCATAGAGGATTTCCTGTACACTCTACAGGGTGAAAAAGGGAAACGTCTAATCTTAGTGGCCGCCCACTGCTGCAACTGCATATGCATTACAGAAGAATTATATGATGGTATAATAACTTCCTTATCATTTTTTGACAGTTTGAGAAAGTTTCTTTTGTACATCACTAGAAAATAAAACTGATTAATATTTTCAAAAATACTGCAAGTCACCGCTCAGATATATTTATAAGTACGTATGATCCAAATAACTAAAATGCATTTCTGTTCGATTCATTTTTCAAATGCTTTTAGTTTCAGTGATCATCTTCAACAAATCAAGAGTCATACCATCTACCTCTACTTTAGATTGTATTGCCACAAGTGAGTCACAACAAATAACACCTTGAAGCATAACATCACCTGCTGCATTAGATGAGTGTGTTTGAGCCAATGTGAGGTCAGCCAGCTCTTGCAAAAACCACAATACCTGTATTTACACTGCCAACCACAATCTTGTGTCTGTGGACATAGCACAATGACTGTTTTTCAGTCAAAATTCAGTGGTTTGACTCCTTCAAGATGTCTAAAGCACAATGGATCTGTGGTAAAGCAGAACTAGGAACTGTTGCATGCCTGACTTAACAAACATCTCGAAGCAAAACACTTGCGGGGTAAAGGTTTAGCTGGGAAATTTCCCAGCAAGACTGTGCAACCAGTTATGCCTCTCTGGTTTGTTGCTTGCGTAACAAAGCTGCTTGCTGACGGTAAACAAACAAAGAAACACTGTCATATATTTAATAGGAACCCAGATGGGCCGAGTCCATTTCTAATTCCCAAGAGACTGACATTAAGCATAAACTCTTCAGTATAAAAACAATCAACATTATATATATATATATATATATATATATACAAAAATGGTTTAAAAAATAAACATGATGAGCCTTCTATGGTGGGTCAGATCCTATGGAATCGGAGATATTTTTACAGCAGTGAATTTTTATTTATAAGCATATTAATCTATATATATATATATATATTATATTTGTTAGGATGTTTTAGCATTTTACCTATTTATTTGGGGTTTTAAACTTGTTTCACCATCTAAATGTTGCCAAAAACCACACCAAGCTGTTTAGAGGCAGGTTGCATTGTGACAACTACCCCACCTGGCATGACAACATATGTTAAAAGAGCATTGTTGTTTTGTTTTTTTACTGGAGCAAAAAGCAAGACAACTAGCCATGGTCTCCCCATATTACAGAATATTTAATTACATAAAATACCTTTCAATAATTATTAGATGCCCACTGAATGAATGCCTTTTCTTATTCTAGAGGAAACATTCTGTAAGGCATCACTACAGAGACAGGAATGGTAATGTATGCTTAATAATAAAACTTAAAATAAATTATAACTGATTCAAAATAATAGGCTCCGTAATGTCTCATTCAATAATACTTCATATATAGAGAGAGAGATAATGAAAAGAGAAAGAGGAGAGAGAAAGAGAGAGAATGAAAAGAGAGAGAATTACTTGCGTTTTTTACATAGTTACAAATATTTGTTTTGGTATCAAATATCTTTATTGTCATATCAGGTACGAGAGAAAGGTGATACTGTTTATTCGGTGGGTAATGATGAAACCTTCCCATGACAGATTCACTCAAGTCAGTGCTGTAAAAATGTCTATATATATTATTTATAATTATTCACCCTCACCGGAGAAGCAATATTTTGCAAGATGAAGGGGAGTGCGAGAACCTTTCATCTGACAAACAGGTCAACTACACTTCTAGGTGACTGCGTGCAAACCAAAGGTGAACTATTGGGAATACTGAAATTAATATTTTTTAGGTTATGCAAAATCGTGAGGATGTTTTTGCCCTTATTATCTATGCAATCACACCTAATGAATGTAAACCTCGCTTACCCTTCCATAAACCTTTGGCACGGGTGATCCAGCAGCATTCCGCCGAACGCGATGCTGGTGCGCGGATGATGAAGCCTCCCTGACTTCTCTCTCTAGACGCACGACGCGACTTTCTGCATGCTCCAGGTGTGCACGCACTAGGAAGAAACCCCTGTCCTGTGGTGGCATGAATCTCTGGTCATGGTGAAGTCGAAGCGTGGAGGAGATCGCGCCAGGAACGAGTAATAATAACAGATATATGGCACAGCGAGTGAGCGCCAGCATCTTGCGTGTCTGCCCTGACGCCATGTTTGTGTATGTTGAATGTGATGTGTGTCAGGGCGCCTCTAGCGGTCAACCGCATTCACACTCATTACCATGGATACAGATGGCACATGACGTTTTGTTTTGTTTCACAATAAACTGTAGATTGGCAAGACCAAAATAAGAGATGTTTCAGGGGAAAGTTTCACAGAAAGAACGTTTTACATCAGTAGCATCCCTAAATCTCTGGCAAATGTGGTTGACTTGGTAAACGTATAAATTAATTATTATAGTAATCATAATAATAATTCTTAATTGCTTTTTGAAGGGAAAATAAATTGCCAACGTCACCAAACTTGATTTCAATTTTATATATATATATATATATATATTAGTGCTGTCAAACGATTAATCATGATTAATCACATCTGAAATAAAAGTTTTTGTTTACATAATGTGTACTGTGTATATTTATTATGTATATATAAATACACACACACATGCAGGTATACATTTAAGAAAAAAATATGTTTTGTTTATATATAAAATATTTATATTTATATATAATATAAATTATATATGAATATAAATATATATACATGTAAATATTTTTTAAATATATACATGTATATTTGTGTATTTATATATACATAATAAATAGCCTATACATAGTACACACACATATATTATGTAAACAAAAACTTTTATTTTGGACGCGATTAATCATTTGACAACACTAATATATTAGAAAACGGATCTACATGTATAAATAGCACAGGATGTTTTTGTTGTAGTAAAATATATTTGGATCAAAACTGAAAAACGGTTTAAAGCTACATAACATGCTAAAAGGCTAAAGGTGAAAGGACATACTTGGTTCTTCAAATATGGGTTACATTTAGACTTGTATTAAACAGTCATTTTTATTATTATTAAAAACAAACTTATTGCTATAAGCTCAAAACATCATTATTGCGTTATTGAAAATGGATTTTCATCCAGATATAAGGGGTCAGAAAGTCATTTTCGGCCAATACTTAAGGTTTAAATCAAATAAGATACAACCACAACACCCTTATACTGTAATTATATTTTGCATGATCTTTCATCACCTCCTGAGCTCATCGCCTTGTTTTGAGTTCAGTTGTCCAAAACCCCCATCTGCTGGTGAGAATTTGTAAAGGCATTATATTTTTATATAGGACTAATTTTACCACTAAAAATTGCATCGGAGTAATCAGTCTTAAGTGGTGTCTTCTTTCTCAGGGAGAGGTTAGAGTTATACCCTCAGTACAATACAGTACAGTACAGTACAGTAGGCGCGTTTTCTGTGAGCGCGCGATTATTGACGGTTGAAAAGCGGCGGTTGGTCAGAGAGGTGAACTGAACTGAACTGCGGTGACCGAGCGACCAAGTTTATCGAAGGCTACTGATTTTCTGGTATTTATTTTAGTTTATTAACTATTATTAACTAACACCCTTTTTGTCAGAGATATTGATTTTATGTAAGTAAGTTTCAAAAGTCAAACGCGTCAGCTCTTGTGTAACAAACTTGTGGCGATAAGCTTCATCCTAAAAGTGAGATCCATGGACAAAAGATTCAGTTATTGAAAAAATAAATAAATAAATACCCAGTTGTTTGTCCTAACATGATTGTTGTTTAAGACGGCTTTGTTGACTTTAAAGTGGGGATATTATCTTTAAAAACACGTTCTTCTTCGGACACAGGAAAGTAATGACACAACGCAGTCTGGAGAGCACTAAAGAGGCGGTCAGAGCAACAGAAATGAAAAGGTCTCAAGCGAAAACACGTGAGGTGAGGATTTTAGGTCATGAACTGAACTAATCTTGTGAAAGAAATGTACAGTCACAAATAACAGCCCACTGTTAACGTCTGTGTTCTTGTAAGTAATTGTCTGATTTCTAACTGACTTTTTTTTTTCCTTTTTTTTTTACTAATACTCACAAATGTACATGTAGGTTGAAAATGCACCATTTCCTGAGACATCTCCAGCAAAAATGATGAAGGCACAGCATTTCAAATCAGCAGCTGGAGACATGTCTTATGGGTTTGAAATAGCGTTAGAAGGCAAGTCCTGGTTTTCTCTTTCATGCTGTGGGTTCCTATGCAGTTTGTAATATGGAAAAAAGAAAGCAGAGTATGGAAAATATTTGCATTTCCAGACTTTTGCCCCTATTTAGTTTTCTATAATATAAAATTTAATGAAAATAAATGTATCATACAAGAAGAGTGTTTTCATGGCAGCTGTTTAGTGATTCTTTAGTGATTGTCAAACACGACTGAACAAATTCAAAGTGCACTTTTTCCATTATGCTGAAATGCAGGTTATAAGAGTTTTGGGTTTCTTCTTACAATATTCTTAGCACCGTATTACAGAGCCTCTATAAGGATCTTTGCAAAAAAAAATAAAAAATATACATACTTTCGTGTGCGCACGAAAAACGATTAAACTTAGCATAGGACAATGCACACTGAGCCTTTGTGCCATCAGTCCATTTTGCGGTGTGGTTATTTGACCACCGCAGAGTGTGTTAAAGCAGACTTAAGGCCTTGAAATATGATGTACTGTGTTTTACGGTACCAGTCTTATTTTATAGATCGTTGAACTTGGCAAATAGGACTATGCACACAACCGTATTATGCCATCAGCCCATTTCGTGTCATTGTTTCTCCGTCACCACAGAGGATGCATTGGCCTTGATATTAGAGGTACTACCCTAAGGAAAGCCAAAGTTTGAGCAAATATATCTCTATTAATTCATGTGAATCCATGCTCTCATTTTCTTCATATAAGATGCAGTGACGCACAATGGAAATAGTTTATAGTTTATATAAAACTAGAAATTGTAATGCGTAAGCACACAAAAAATTCCCATGCGCATGTCAAAAGTTTCTTGAAGGCAGAAAAAAGTTTCTTGTGTGCGTGCAAAAGTCTGTGTGTGTGTTTTTTTTTTTAGGGGCTCTGTATGTTGTCACTTCAAGAAAATCAATGAATAAACCCCTGAAAAAAAATATTTACAGATGACTGTACTATATACCAAATATAAAGCTGAAAATAATGAACCATTTATGTTAAATATGGTCTGAAAATCTACTCAGAGGTTTGGAAATTTGAGTCTAGAAAAGTATGGAATTTTGATTTGAAAAATGTGTAGGAACTCTGTGTCAAATTAAATATCTTAAATACCTCTGACCTGTGACAATTAAGTACCTCTAAAATACCTCTCAATTAAATACCTTTATTAATTATTTAACATATGTGAGGTTGTGTAGCATAATATATCATGACAGCTATTTTAGTTACATTTATAAATTTTTCTGTATGTCTTTTCATTTTAGAGGCTAACCGAGACGTCAGTGTCCTCTTTTCCAAGTACTCAGAGGTCTTGAGGTAACTGGATGGATTTGCATGCTACCCCTGTGTCTCATCAGTAATAGATCAATAAGGTTTACACTCGTACATTCATTTCACATGTTATCTTCTAAGGGAAAGAGCTGCTGTGGACGCTTCACAGCTCGGAGAACTGGAGGATATACTTACTGAAGCCAGGAGCTTGGAATCTCATCTTAAAGAGAAGAAGGAACACCTGAGACGATCTTTGGCTTTGATCTCTGACAAACTACAAGGATAGGTTCAGTTCTTTTCAGTGGTGTTGTTTGATTCACATAATGCATCTCATTTGCTCTACAAGCATTAGTTCATAAGATATTGTTAAAATGTTGATTATACATGTTCATATTACACTTTAGAAGTTATATAATTATACTTTACAATAAGAGAAAAATAGGTTGTATGCTGAAATAAAGCTTTATATGTGGTGACAGCAACAATCTGTAGTGAACAACTGCATATATATACAAGCATTTGTTATTTGAATAAATTCTTATTCTTTTAGCAGACATTATTTTTAAAGTTATTGAAATTATATAATACAAGTTATTAATTCAAGGGAGAAAACAACACAAGTAGAAAAGGAAAAGTAGGTTATTCACAGACAGCTTGATCATCTTGCTAAACATTTGGGCTTTTTAAAAGAGTCTCTCAGTGTCTATTTCGGAAAGTCCCATGGAATCCATATGGAATGCTGATAGGTACCTCAGCCCGGCCCAATTCTTCAAATCTTTTTGTATCCAGCACCAGAAGGAAGGTGCTCTTGTCCTAGAGGGACAATTGTTCATTAGTCCATCCATAAAAGTTAACAAGCAATATTTGATACCACTGAGGAACATGTCGTGTTATACCTGATTTGGGGTGATGACCACGGACAGAATGACTCCATCTTCCTCTTCTACAGCACCAGGTGATGAGACAAAGATCGGTTCTGAGGGATACATGCCTGCATGTTTCCACACCTGTCATAAGTTGAAATATTAGTTCAAATGACTAAACATTAAAAGTCACTGACACAATTTCAGCATGCATTAACTTAATACTTCTAACAAACCTTTATTTGTTTGCCTTGAAGGTCCATTTTAATGAGGGAGTCTCCAACCAGGTGTCTGAAGCCACATCCGTAGAAGTAACGGTAGGGGCAGGAATTGCACATTGAATAGTTGATGTGTGGGAATTCCAGACCTCCATATTCACTGAGATCATCACCATGGAGATCTTCATGCGTGCAAAACACCTGGATAAATACACATGGACAATCATTTACAATATATGATATAAAAGCATGTAGATAAATTAGACAAAAAGTTATCCAAATAAACCAACCTTATTCTTGTCTGTCTTGATGGCTGTCGCAGTGCTGTTCAAGCGTGTGTTGAGATTTTGCCCACAGAGTGTATGACTGTCCACGTTCAATGGCAGGACAAAGCGGCGGGGGAACACTCTGCACATTGTGTTGTAAACCTAGCAAAAAAAAAACACTGAACACTGAAGTACAGTGAAAAGAAATCTTGCATAGAAAGAATTTTCACTCAGAAATTGCTCATAATTTCACTAATATTTACAAAGAATCGCCAAGTAACACATTCAATTAAACGTGACATGTTTAAGTAGAAAGGCTGAAATAGTATTTTCT